ACAGCAGTTGTGAAGCACGAGGCATCAAATCACATTCCAAATTAGACACAACGCTACAGATCCCGGAGACGGGCTCGCCTCCTTTCCACCCGTGTGGCAAGTTCCGGATGCATCAGCGCGGTGCATCTCCTCGTCCCGGCTCGATGCCTCATCACAGTCATGAGAGGTTGGCAATGTTAGCAAGGAAGCGCTGAGCCCACCACTCCTCCAGGTCTATGGGCACAAAGTCTGCACAGAGGGGAGGACAGCAGGAGAGACGAGAGACGAAAGCTTAACTTCAGATTGAATCAAATGAGCAAATACATTTTCTACACGTGAACAAAATGTTACATTAACAGCTGAAGAATTCCAGCCTGCCTCTTTAATCGATTCATTGTCCTTCACTTGAATGGAGAGCTCCTTTTGTCATGTTAATTTCTCAGATTTGAAAAGCTTTCGGTCTTCTTAAAAATAAAAAATATATAATAATATTTTTTTTTTCTTCACATTCTAAAGAATTCAGGATTAGAAACCGGTTTGGTTTAAGCTTTTCGGGGTAGCAATACACAAAGGAAAGCGGAAGAGGCAGGTAGGTGCGTGCACTACATTTGGTCGTCGCGGCTGGTTTATCTGGAATAGCCAGGTTCTAAAATGAAAGGAGGTTAAAAATTAAAGCAATACTATTACAACAGTTGCCCTCTGCCTTGCATGCTGTTCATTCAGAGAGATGAAAATAGCCAATCGGTTCAGGAGTTTAAAGGCCCAGACATAATAAATGCATAGATTACAGGTTCAAAAGCTGAGCGGCTTAATGAGTAGGAAGAGGTTTATCTGTTAGGATGCCATAAAGACATACGGTAAGATTACATTAAATGAGTCTGGTCACGTTTAGTTTCTAAATGACTGGAGGCATTTTAAAAGTCATGGGAACTTACTCTTCATCGCAGCACTCGGGGTCTTCTCGGAGTACTGAACTGGCCCTTGGCTGTCAGCCGGCCCCCCACTGCCACCGTCCTCCAGCTTCTGCTCCACCTCCTGCCACACTGCAAACAGTCACACACGCGTGGAGTTGGAATTACCATTTGGTGTATTTTTTCCTGTCATCTTTGAACTCGTGCAAAAAGACACTAAAAATAAAAATAAATCTTCAACCAGCAGCTGAGCTCAAGGGCACATCTACACAGCTCTGACCACTATTTATCTAAATTCATTTGAAGGCCGCAAACCTTGAGAGGACTGGTCTGGTAGGCAGATTGTGTTTATCAGTTGAGGGTGAAGGTTTTTCCATTTAATAATCAAGATAAATCTCAAGGTTTAGTTTCTGTGGACATGTCTTCTGCTTACTTGGAGCTCCAATAGTCAGCCAAACATTTAATGTCTAACGGCTTTAAGGATGTTAAACAATAAACCAGTTGAACGTGTGCATGCGGGTGCATAAAACGCTTTCTAATCATGTCTGCAGGTTACATTTATTAGAATTTTATCTTTTTTGTGTGAACATGTTCAACTGGAATAAACCGCAGCAGGTTTTCTCTCTTCGAACAACTCGACAGAGCGTGAGAGCCGTTCCTCCTTGTGTCTGAGCAGAGAACAAAAGTGAAGCGCTGAACTTTGTGGTCACAAAAGGACGCCACAGAGCAGTCTTTACTGGCAGCAGCCCAAGAGTAACACAGATAGCTGGCTCATGCCGATTCAGCTCCACAAATCATTCAATCCGAGCACGGCATGAAATACTGGCCGGCGCTGAGGTATGCTGGACAATCTTCCAAGACGGGGGTGAATGTTGGCCTGGACTTAACTCATTGTTAGGGTTTACTGACTAGAAGCAGCACTCGTCTGAGACCTACTGACAACTAGTTGAATTTTTGCAGTAGTTCAGGTATTTGTCATTTTTTTTTTTAAAAAAAAAGGGTTATTAGTATGCAAAACAACACCCAACATTACTGAAAACTACCTTATAAAAAAAAAAAAAAGGATATAAATTCTGAACCTAAGCATATGAAGAGAATTTTACCAACACGGTAAAAATGCAAACAGTAAATATAAAAATTTTGCACATCTGTATATCCAAAACTTCTTATGCAGAGGAGGACGTGTATTGCAGAAGATCATCTGATTTCCAAATTATCAGCCTATTAAAGATGCTTATTAAAGATGACCAAGGTTTCAAAAAAGTGAGATCACTGATTGTACAAGTACCAAAAAGCTTGGGCTCTAAACTGCTTGGTTTCAGACAGAGTGGAAAGCCCCAGTATGAGCCCCTCAGGCAGACAGCTCTGCCTCTGAGCACCGCAGGTCCACCACTTGCTGTGCAAACTTTTGTGAGAGGCTGCCAATAGGAAGTATTAAGAAGTCTTAAAAAGAAGAGGAACTGGAGCTACAATGGTTTAAGAGATGAACTGAAGGGCTACACTAGTACCCAGAACAGGTTCAAAAGGCTCATTATAAACTATGAATCATGTAAAGCTACTCTAGTAACTAATACCACGTCCCCTTTCTTGGAGGGCTCACTTTGCACTCCGACTTACATCACCACCCATCTATTGGTCGCCTTATCCTCACCTTCGTATACAAATCGGACATTCTCCTCGTGTGCAGGAGTGAATCCCTCCACTGGGCTTTCAGTCTTCTGTGCGGCCGCACTGTGGTACCGTTTCCCGTTGAGGCGATTGAACACGATCTTTGGAGGAGGAGAGCTATGGAGAAAACACAAGAGCTAATTGCAGAAGAGCGGCTTTTTGGATGAAGACAGTCACAGGAGTCACGTTACAAAGTGAGAGTAAAAGTCTTGTGTTCATTTAGCAGCTTGGATTACTTGGTGAAGGTGTGGCCACTTTGATTATGACAGGGCAGACTGACTTGGTTCTTCATGGGCAGGGTGAACATGAGCTTAAAAGGGCACCCCCCTTTCAAGAAAACTTGGTGTTTTCTTGAAGGGGGTGTTATATATTAGTGCAAATCTAAAGTGTAAATCTAAGTCTTGCACACTTTCACACAAGAAAGTTTTCTTAGAGTGGTCAATTTTTTCCTGGACATTTTGGAGACTGCAGCTTTGTATTGGTTAGTCCACCTTAACTATCTCAGTACATTAAGTTAGTTTTGCCATTTGTAGATGAAGTTTCAATCAAGGCTAGATTTAGGCTTTTCTTTATATTAACACATTTCTACACCTTAATAAATCACAGCAGGAGAGGTGGGTTGGCCCCTCAGGTAGCAGAGCTCTCGGCTACACCATGCAGTGTCACACCTCAACTAATGGCGCCTCTGATTGGCCCGAAAAACTGACGGGCCGTCAGAGAAGTTGTGTCCGATAATGGAACCAAGCCACGCCGACGTGTTATATGATCGCGCTCGCGGTCCACGTGGAAAGTATTTTGAGCTCGCGCTGCTCAAACAGCAGCACGCCCAAAGCAACCCTCAAAAAAAAAAGGAAAAAAAAGAGAAAAAAGTAAACATTAAATAAAAACACAAAGTAAACATACTCACTTTGACGTGAGCCAGGACGTCGGCTTCAGTTTCAAGTCGCCGAACTTGCTCTCGACCTGCTGAGTGTTACCTGGGGCAAAAACGGGAAAATTACGCGTTTGTAGACTCGACGTAACCCAGCACTCAAACATTTCACCTTACGAAACAACTCCGAAACTTTCGCTTTCTTGAGCCAAAAGCAGCCTGACGTTACATTGCATCACGCGTTAGGTAACGGCCACATTCACTCACCTGTCCTCCGTTGTGTAACGAGTTTGCTGGGACCTCTGGTGATTGTGTACATCATGTGAACGCCGAAACCCTCGAGAAATTCTGCACTGCCCCTTCTCCTTAATTGTCAGCCTCAAGCATTGAACGCTGACTCTGAAACTTCTAGCTCTTGTCCGGTCCTTCTGAGGCTGCCCCGAAATGATTGTTGTCCAGGTCAGCTGCTCCACAGTCGGCTCGAGGCCTGCCAGAGACTCGCTTCGACTTGTTGCCCGCTGTGTAGACCGCCCGCTGCAGCTCCTCTCCGGCAGGTGGTTCAACTGAGATGAAACGACGTCCAGGACTCGTGCAATAGGTTGTGTGTAGGTCATTCAAGGAGAACGCAGTTCCACATGCCGGGGATCATTAATGGGAGGCGGGGGCAAGCTTCCTGACGTCCCTGAATTGTGACACTCTAAGCCGGACACTCCTACCCTCTCTCCTCTACTGGTGCTCCGGAACCGACTGTACCACCTCTGATTTCTGACAGGTTACAAGGGCACTGCACACTTTATTCTCTTCAGGACTGAAATCGAGCATGCTGGGCTAGCGTCAAGTAAGTCCAAATGCAGAACAGGGCTTCCGCCTGAACATTTCAAAATAAAACTAATTTTTGGAGAAGCCTACAGCTACTTTAAACTGAAGCACCATTTAAAATATGATAAGCACAATCTTGAGATGACACCATATGTACTTTTATATCACATTAAAAACTACACAGTTATATACTATTGATTATCATGCAGCTACAAATACTATGCACTTAAACACTGATTAGCCACAACATTAAAAACCCAGCCTAATGTTGTAAAGATCTAGACCAAACAGAGCATGGACTTCTAGGTATATCCTCCTCTAGTGTCTGACTTCTTGTGGTCATTGGGCTTCTTGTCATGTTCCATAAGTAGTTGTTTTCAAGTGTTCCTGTTTGCGTTTTGTCTTCTTCTCATCAAACATCCCTCTAGAATTGGTTATTCACTGAAAATGAGTCAAGGAGCTGCCACTATCCAAAGAAAAGATCTAAAAAAGCCCCGAGAAGTATTGTATTTTATTTCAGATTTTCTGTTTAATTATTCTCTTTTGTATTACTTTAACAAAATAAATAAAACGTATCATGGTTTAAATTTAGTTTTAATTAAGTTGGAATTAGTTATAATAACAACATAAATTACACATAGTTAAGATTTACACACACAACAACACCTTTCCATTATTTTTATTATTCATTTTTGTTACATAATCCATTATTATTTAATGGTGAATTTAGAGTTTAAATGTACATGTATATTAGACTTTTACTATACTTATTATACTTATACTTTATTCTTTAGTATACTTTTACTTTATTGTATAGTTATTTCAGATTAGGTTTTACCTTTTTCGGATTTTTTTTCATTGTTTTCTAGTTCACTGAGTTTCATGCTATTTTAAGTATATTTTTGTTATGTTAAACTTAATATTTACATACTGTTTCCCAACCTTGCGATTAATTAATTACATTCATTTCTAGGGATCTTAAATTTTTTCCACACTTTGAAAAGCCTTTTATTTTGAAGGCGGAGCTGCTGTGTTTCCGGTCGCGTTGTTTCCGTTTACTTCTGGTTAGTCCGCCTGTGCGTGACGTCACTAAACGCCCCTCAGGCCGGGTTTTAGGAGCCGCGACGCGCTCACCTTTCACCTATTAAACCAAATTCGCAGATCTCCAGGCGCTTTGACAGTAATAAAGAAAGCTGACAGGAAACCTACATTTTGCTGCAGTTTGAAGGTTTGGTTAAACACTTCAAATATATTTATTAGACAATTATTAAGAATGTTTGACCAATTGTGAGCATTAAAAAAAACAAACTCTATTAACAAGGATAGGCCTTTAGTTTTTAAATCCGCTTTTGGCACTCACCATAATCTATCTGGGGACTTATCGTCATTGTTATCCTTTGATAATTTCTACCTGAAATCTAACATTTCTTTTCTTTTTTTTTTTTTTTTAAACACACAGGTAACCTGGTTCTTTTGCTCAGATAAAAAAAATTAGCTGAGTGCCTCCAAACTGCCTGAGCTGAAATTCTGCATTTAGCAACTGAAGATCAGCCGGGACAAGAAGCGGCTCAGACAGGCTTAACCAGGGTGATATCCAACACTACACTTCTCACTCAACCCCCATTCATCTGCGCTATCTGGGTCAATCGCCTGACACTGCAGGCCCAAAAGCTAATAATCAACAGTCCCCACTACACAAGCTTAGCATTAACAGCAGGGCCAAACAGTGAATGCATGAACTTTTACACTACACCTGAACCGTTTTATGTTCTCCTGAGACAGTATGTCCAGGTTTTTGTGTTTACTGAATGATGCGCTGCAGGATATCAGCTCAAACCGTTCACCTTTATTGATCCATTTTAGTGTCCACAGCTGTCACATAATGACACAGAACATGACAGACCAACATTTTCAGTCTGCCAAGCAGCTCTACATTCCCACAACTATTACAAAAATAAAAAATAAAAAATCAAGTAGTTATTCACAAGAGCCTGACCGATGCATAGTTTGGCCAATGTTAATAAAACTGCAGTAGTTTAGAAATAGTCTGATTATAGGGGGTTCTCCTCCCTCAAAATGGGAATAAATATGCAATCAAGTAAAATTAGTACACATTAAAGGCGATGAGTCCGTGTCACCTTACTTTAAACTGTTGATGCATTTTCCTGTTATTTGGAGCCATTTCATTAGTAAAAATAGATTTTATGGTTGAGTAAAAATGTTATATCTATTTTACCTCCAAAACCGTTCCAGTTTCTAATATGTCCACCTAGGAAAATTAATTGTCCACCTCTGTTGTACAGTAATATCTACAGTGTATAGATATAATGATATCATTATAAGTAAAGCCAGCTTACTTTACATTCAGCATATATGAAATGCAAAAGCACTAGGTTGATTTTCCAGACAAACAGCAACATCAAGCAACGTCTAACTTTAGTTTTTACCCATTCAAGTAAAGCAGTTACAAAACTGTCACACTGCTAAAAAATGGTTTACTCTTTAAAAACAGGCACTGTGTTATTGGTAACACTTGAGCCTTACAGAAAGCCATGCATTAACTCCATTCGTGTATCTGTGCCACAATTGATCCCTCATAAATGTCCTTGTGGTTTCATATACAGTACAGTACAAAAGTTTGTTTTCTCCATACATTAACAACATAAGTAATCACCAAGCCTACTTATTATTAGTTTGTCTATGCTGCTCTATAAAGCATTTATGTATGTTTCTTTAATAAGTAGTATTCACATGACAAAAAAAAAAAATCATCTCAAGGTAGATTTCTTCAGATCTTAGTGAGTAAAAAGCACACACAGTGCTCTGCATTATCTGAAAGACTGTATAAACATATAACATATAACTAACATGACAAACATACAAAAAAAAAAATGTAGTCCTGAGTGGATGAATACATCATATTGCTGCAGGTCTATTATAGACACATATTACCAGCACCTTGCATTAACAAGTCTGTAAATATAACAGGCGAGTTCTTCATTATTCATTATTAAAGTGATTTAGTCGTAATAAAATCTGTTACTTTGTATTTTGTTATGGCGCCCAGTTAAAATTCTTCAGGAAACATACACCCATAGAAAAAAAACAGTGTTCTTGGAAATAAAAGGAGTATATGATCTCTTGCTTGAGCTTACATATGGGTGACAGTTTTTTTAACGACTTGTATCTTTAATAAATGCCAACATTTTGTGGAGTGGATTCGTGTGTACGTCAGTAATGAGGGTCACAGTCTTCCACCATGCTGTCTGTGATGTAGTTGACTTTTAGCACCTCCTGGTAATACTCCTTCTCTACTTGTGTGTTGACAGTCCAGGCTACAACCTCGACACCCCTCTGGGCCCAGTGCTGCACATAGTCCCTGCAGACAGGACACACAATCGGTGAGTGATGTTCATCTGGTCTGAATGACCCAATAAGAACTTTTTAAGGATGAGTACAAAGCAACGACAACTTTTTTGGTATAACTTAAAAAATAAATAAATGTAAAAGTGAGATACTTAATATATACAAATATATGTACTGTTTAGATTTCCTCCTATTGATGATCCACAACAATAAACCCGAGCATGGAATAAGACAGTTAGCAGTGCCATTGAAATGCACCTCTAACACATCTGTATTCTAATGAAACCTAACGCATATATAGAATAGATGACTGTATGTTCCGGCTACAAAACTCACTGTGAGACAAAGTTCTTCTGTATCAGGAACGCCGAAACGCCACAGAGCTTCCACAAAACATGATGGTGTGCCCAGTCCAACAAGATGTCCATGACAGTCATCCAGTGATGTTTCCACAGCGATGAAAAACGTGGGGCACCGTCCCCGAACCGGCTCAGGCTCCAAGGCCGGTGGGTCAGTGCCGTGACCACATCTGCGTCACTCTGTCTCATCTAGACACAAAGTGTTGGTGAACATTAGCATGCTGTTTTGTTAGAAAGCAATTTGAGTATTTTTTTCCCCCACTCTTTCTGAGTCAACACTATTTATTACAATATGTTTTTAACTTAACTCTTAGACTGCAAAAATAAGTACAATTAAAACTGTAAACTACTTTGAGCCACATGTCAGCTGATGTCAGGTCATCTTAGCGTTCACTTTAATTGGTAACAAATGAATGAAAATAGGAACGAAGAGCTCAGGCACTAAGAGCTGTGTGCTCATACTGTTTAATTAGTCTTGTAATCCATCACCTAAATGTGTCTAGGAGGTGCAAAGTGTAACACACAGATATCTGCTTATCCTACTCAGGGTTGCGGAGCGGCTGGAGCCTGTAACGACTGCCATAGGGCGAGAGGTGGGGCACATCCTGGACAGGTCCCCAGCCTGTCGCAGTGCTAACACAGAGGCATACTTACATCCACACCTACGGCCAATTTAGAATCAGCAATTAACCTACCCCAAAAACTATGGTAGGAAGCCAGAATACTCGGAGAGAACCCACAGAGACATGGGAAGAAAATGCAAACTCCACACAGAAAGGCCCAGGCCAAATGCTTGATTTGGACCCAGGACCTTCATACTATGAGGCAACAGCGTTAACCCCGTTGCCAATGTGCTGCAAGTTTAAAAAAAATAAAATAAAAAAAGTTCTGAAAGTGGTCAGGGTTCATAATCATGCATAGAGAACTTTGAACTTCTAGTTTATAGTAGAAGTTAATTAATGTAGGATAAATAAGATAAGCTGACCCACACAAACTTATTTCTACATTTCTTCTTTTGTTTTTTTTGTTTCACTGTGTGCAGCCAAACTGTCTGAACTTTGTGCATCTTTATCTTTTGTACATTTTAAGGGTGTGCAATTGCAGCTAAGCAACTCCGCTGAAATTACCCCTTTGGGGACAAACGGTGCTACGTGACCTGACAGTCACCAGAAACTCTTCATGTCTGGAATTTGATTCTTTATACTACATATTAGTTTACCTCGGTGTATTTTCTTCTAAATTGTAATTTTCCTCTAGTTGGACTAGATTGTATAAAGAAAACCACAGAGAAAAATCCCCCCTGAAAAACAGTGTGTTTACTGACATGAACTAAGCTTTAAACTCTTCAGATATGAGCCGTCTTACCCTGTAGATGACTTTAGGCTCGAAGGAGCAGACGATGCTGCTGTTGTAGAGGATCGGATATTTCTTATACAATTCTTTTAGAGCTGCGGCTGCCTGAGTAGGAAGAAGAAACAAATGGTTATCGTAGGTCATTCAGCTGTTTGCAGATTTAATGTTTTTGCTTGTGGGTGTTCCTCTCCGACCACTAGGTGGTAACTAGCAGCTGTGTACGCACAGGCATACGGGCCCACAAATCATAAATGTCAGCACGTGAACCTCTAACCACAACTGCAGCTTTCCCTTCCTTAAAAATGTGCAAATGCTGCACTTAAGGAGTTGAGTGAATACCCTAACTTTAAGCTAAGAGACTACTGCCCCTGGCCCAGTTTTTATGTTGCCAACACAAACAAAGTTACATTTGGTTGTTAAAGAGCAAACAAACAAGGAACGTCTAACAGCATGCACAATGTCACCACACAAACAAAACATTACTTATCAGTGGTGCTGTCCTCCATCTGTGAGAAGCTGTGTGTGTGTGTGTCTGTGTGCGTTTTAGGGGTTTGTTATTTGTTTGAGTACAGACAAACCTGGAACATGTGTTCTGGACATCTTAAAGTGCATCAGTGTTAGTAGTGTTTCTCTTCTCTGGACATTCCCCGGTATGACTCTGGCTTGCCACAACTAATTTTAATGATTAGTTTTGTGTAACTAATAGAGTGGTGACATGTATTATAGTGCCATTCTATTGGTAATAAATAAAAAAGTAGAAATAATGAAATGGTGGACTTGTGATCAGTTTGTATCAAACCATCACTTAAATCAACACGGGCAAACTGTGACGATGATGATGTGCAATCTCTCAGTTATGCAGGCAGTTTTGTTGGCGTTACCTCATCTGGATGACCTTTGACATCAAAGTAGATGGTTAGCTGCAGTTTGATGCATTCCTCCACTGCCTCCTCCAGGGTGGGGATCTTCTCTCCTGCAAACTTGTCCCTGGTGGAAATAAAACAAGTAAGGCTCGTTTTAACTGGATTTCTTTTTATATGATGCCAGTGATCTTTCATACGTCTCACTATACAGTTTGCCAAAGCCACTTATATACTTGTTCGCTCTCATCTAGCATAAGTTTCCGGTTCTCCGCCGTTTACCTGCTCCAATATTTCCCTGGGCTGTATCTTTCAGTCAGATATTTGATCATTGTCACATCCAATCTACATGCCGTCCTCGGGCAAAATAGTGTTTATCTAACACAGTACAATCAAACTGTCATAGAGAAAGTATTATTTGAACATGTGTGTAAATGGGTTAATTTGGGGTTTGTGTAAGCAAAAACCTATTGACTTCTTGTTAAGAGTTAAGAGTCTGAAATTATTTGTTTAAAACGGTTATACATAAGCATGAATTATTCAGATGTGTAACCACTTTGCCAAGGTCTGGACAAAGACACACACAGTCAATCTTAGATGAGAGGAAATAACCCAGGAACCACTGAAGCTCAAACCTGTCATGAACTGGAAACTGCTGGAATACCAGTGTCACAGTGAAGCATAGACTGAGAGGGTGCTGACTAAGAAAGAAGACACTGCTCCAAAACTGACACCTTCAAGCTCGACTGCAATTTGCAGCTGTCCACATGGATAAACCAAAAGCCTTCAAAACAAACGTTTTACGGTCTGATTAGACAAAGATTGAGCTCTTTGGTTACAATGCCAAGAGATGTGCTTGTAGGAGTGACGGAGAAGCTTTCAAACCTAAGAACACTGTACTAACTGTCAAGCATGGTGGTAGTAGCATCATGCTCTGGGGGTGTTTTGCTGCCAGTGGTACAGTGCACAAATTGGTTGGAATAGTGAGCATTGTTAATATGGAAGTCTAGTGTAGTATATCATTTTTATATTTCTGTGTTATTGTAAAGTCATTTAAGTTAAAGTTAAAAAAAAATGCATACGCCCCCCAGTGACTAATATATTACTTTAAACATTGGATATGATCCAGTAGAAACTGAAATATTTTCTTATTTGTGTGACCCTGACTTTTGACCTTGAAACATTACATACTAGAATCTGTGTATTTTGTTATCTTTACCCATACGATTGGAGCAGAACTGGCTGAAATCTTTGGCATTGATAAGCTGTAACAACTTTAAGATAAGATATAATCATCCAGTGTGTGATTTTGCAAAACGTTATGCTGTCATTGTGACATCATATGGCGTCACATTGAAAAAAAACTGTTGTACAGCTCTCTTCGTGCGCAGTGAAGGCCAAGGTGAAATGCTTGACCACCTATGTACTCATTTCTAACAATGCCTTGTATATTGCTTTAAAGTTTAAAGACAGATTATAAATTGTGGATAACAAAGTTTTTACTGAATTTCACATTTGATGTAACCTTGTAACCTCAAATTGATCAAAACAAAATTTAAAATTAAATATTGTGTTGTGGCTTCTGTGTACGCTAGACCGCTAACAAACAGACAAACTGAGCAGATTACATACGTCCTCCCTTCGAGGGGAAAATTACCTTATTTCAGTGGATGTTTAAACCTGCTAGTATATTAGTGTGGAAGAACCTGTATCACATTAAAGCACCTCACTACCGTGTGCTTTGTTTGCGCCTTCCTGACTATATGCTTCTTTCTTACCTGAGTCGATGTTTAGCAGCTGCATCCAGTTTAGCTAGCTCTGACATTTTCATCTTGCTGAGGAATCCTGACCCACTGGTGGTTCGGTCCACGGTCTCATCATGCATCAGTATTGGGACGCCATCTGCTGAGAACTCCAGGTCCAATTCCACACCAGTCGCCCCATTCTTACTGGCCTACAACAGAACAGACAATTTTTCAGCACTTGATGTTTTTTCAGATGGAGTTGGTGGTCACAAATCTGCCCTAAAATCCACTTAGAAAAACAAAAGTCATTCCTACCTTCCTTATGAACTTTGCAGCTTAATTTGCAACTACTATACAACAAAATTAGCCATAAAGCCATGATCCATCTGAAGAAAATTTTACTTGACTAGTAAACTGATTATATCTGTTCTCTGTGTTGACCTATAAATGGGAGTATATTACAGTTAAGAAATACTCTTCGAAAGTGTACACCATTGCAACAAAGTCTGTACACTAAAAAGCACTAGCAGGTGTATTTTTGAATGCAAATTTCAGGCTCAGAACACTCACAACTCATATACACCTGATATAAGCATTTGGTCTGTATTCGGTATCTTTATTTGTATAAATTAAAACCAATACATGGGACTACTCATATCCAGATGGTATTAGATTAATTATTACTCACATATCTTTACTTTATCTCAACATGCAGATTAGTTAAACAAGGCTGGCTAGTTGGGAACTGGCTGATAACATTGTGATACAAGGTGCTGCTGAAAGAGTGGTGGCCTTAAAATGCATGTTCTCTGTGCTGGTAAGTTGTCCAGACACAAACTGGGCGTGAATACCAGAAGTTAAAGACGTCGCAGTAATTCCCCTTGCAACCACGGCCATAACAAAAAAAGGCAAATGAAGGATAATCGCTACAAAACCCTCCCCACCTCATTCTCTCACCTCTCGGATAGATGCTATCGTGTTCTCCGGTGCATCGTGCCCGCCGCCCCGGTGAGCGATCACCGACACCTTTCCCGTGCCCGCCATGCCCTTGACTGGGTGGAGCACCTTCTGGGTTCGGCTGGACGGTACCTGTGGGAAGCGGAACATTGCTAGAAAGAGGTAGAGGGAGGCGGTGAGGATCACTGTCCACACCGGGCTTCGGGTCCCCAGCAGGATCCCCACGAAGATAAGGGAGTACAAGGTGGCTTCATCTCCTAGCTGGAGCATCGTTGTCCTGTCTTTGTCTTCTCCACCTGTCCCACAGCAGAAAATAGCACCTGGCAGGAAATGTTCCGCATTTAAGGTGTGGGACGTTTACTGTACTAATTTTAGTTTCTTTAAACGACCTAAATGAGATAAGAACATGCTTTGCCCGGCGATAAAACACTCATTACCGAGAGACAGTCCCCAGTCCGTGACTCGAAGGGAACTGCTGATTTGTGCTTCCCGGTGGATGCTTCCGCATCTAAGCTAACATCCCCAAAATGAATTTGATGTATTCAAAATTATAATAAAATTGTAATTATTATTCTGACTGAGCTGTCACAGAGCGATGATTGACAGCTTTCTCACAGGATGTCTCAGAACAACAACAAAAAAAAGTTAAATAAACATTAACAAAAAAACGAGACGTTAAAGGTGAGCACATCCGGGTTACACCGCATAACTGCTTCCTGTTAGCTCCCATTCAAGTCATGTCATTTGGTGATCCATCTTTCTTATTTCTGCATTTTTCTTTCATTTAGCCGGTCTCTGATCATGGTAAGCCTCGTTTTATATCCAAACTCTTATCCAGCATTGACTTTTATTATCAGTAAGATTAATTTTTAGCCACAGAAGGTCATTAGTGCTGTGCCAGGGCTGTGTGTTTTCTACAGTCAGTGGTGACAGCTCAGTCAAGACATGTGCACCTTCAGGTTGTTTTATTCCACACAGCGGCTACACAACAGCTGCTGTACATGTACTGCAAGTGTTCGTCTGGGTATACCACTTTGTATTTTTTAAGCAACTGCATAATATTATATTTTGTATATTACTGCAATAACAATGTACAGTGCACAAAATAAGTGAAGTAGAGAGTACAGACAGGGTGGAGTGGGTGGAGATGAAGACCAGAGGTGATATATGACAGGAGGATAGCAGCAAGAGTGACGGGGAAGGTTTGCAAGATCAAAGTCAGCTTTATTGTTAAAGACCATATGTACAGTATTGATGAGCTATGTTAGGAAATACTGAGAATTTGCAGTTTTTTAAACTTTTTTTTTTAAGTTATTTTGTTAACGGGGATCTAGTCTAAGGTGTTTGTGCACTTTTAGGGGTTTTGTCTTGGTTTGTGTTAATGTTAATTTTTGATGCATCGGTTGCCTGATCCAGGAGTTATTTTATTAAGTAGTGTAGTCAGTTTGTTCTCATAGATGTTAGCTGATCAAATATTCTATATTCATAGAATATTTATATTCATCAATATAATAACAGTTTTGGCTCCAAACATGTCATGTTGAATTTATCTGTTTGATGTAATTTATCTTTCTACAGATCAGGTCACTTCTCCGGTGCAGATTAACTCCCCACGTCCTGTCCTTCACCAGAGGATCAAGTCTGCTCGCAGCTCGAACACCTTACAGTTTGCAGCCTTGTTCACCAAGTCTCAGGCCAATTCAGCAACACCTACATGGACCTGTTATCCCCAAAATCACAGCCCTTGTTAAATACTCGGATGTGTCCACAGAGAAGTACACTATGATTTACACCCTGCCATACATTAAGCTCCTTAGAGCTGTGTCCAGGCTCAAACTGCTCCAAACTGCAATAACTGTGGTCATCTTGCCCCCGGTGTACGTCCTCTACTTCCAGGGAGCTGCCTCCACCTTTCTTGTCGGCTACACGACAGGGATAGCTCTGTTTGCTGGTGCTATGCTGTATACTGCCAGTTACTTCTTCAGAAGGGTGGTGGGAATGATGTATCTGGATCCGTCTCAGACCACCCTCAAAGTGTCCCACCTCACTTTCTGGGGAAAGCGCCACGATATGTACCTGCCGGTGTCAGATGTCATGACC